ATATATATATATATATATATATATATATATATATATATATAATCACTATATTTAACACAATTAGATAAGTTTTGTCTTGAGGACTGTGTGCCCAGGATCAAAAGATGGAAGTTCACTACTGAGGAGGAAACAAAAGCCGCCAGCTGAGGCCCAAGGGCAAGATGAGGGAGTCTTAGGGTGGAGGTTGCTAAGGACAACCACTTGTCTTAAGGGTCTTATTTCTTATTCAGTTAGGGTTGGTAAAGTCATTTGCAAAGCTCATACTGAACACATTTATTTTGATATATTAACCTGATTAGAATGAACTAGATTGGGGGTATGTGTAAAGAAATGGCTGTCATTTCACTCTCTGGAGTAGCTTTGGATTTCATCTTTAGTTTCTGTTCCTTGGGAGGAGCATGTTTGCATTTATATAGGATATTACTCAGGATTGAGAAAAACTTCAATTTTCTAAACCAAGAATCTTAGGTGGGAGTTAGAAGTTATGGGCGCAATATATGCTGACTTAGCATGTTTCCTATTCTTTCCTTCAGAGAACAGCTTTCTTAGCTGACCTAAAAGTTGAGTGTTTTACTTACTATAGTCTTCCTCTTTGGGGCCAGAAAATCTTTCTGATTTTGTATATTTGGAAATAGATCTAAAGTGAAGAAGGATTTTCTAATTGGTGCGGTGGAGTAATCCACAGGGCATTATGGTTTGAAATTTGCTGCTTTCATTTTTATTTGTTTTGCTTTGGCAATATTTACTTTAGTTTTTGTGCCAGTTTGTCTACAGATAAAAAGAAATTATGAAAGGTTCTCTGCTGTTTGTATAGCACCTCCCATCCCTTATCATCTCTCTGTGGGCCTTTGGAAAAGGGGGAGACGGAGTGTTTTGGATTTTTAAAATGATTTGGGATTGTCATAGCAACTGGTGGGCAGAAACCAGAGATACTGAAAGTCTTGCCATGCCCCAGGCAGTGCTGCAAAGTAAAGTCCTCTTCCAATGGCTAATGAGCCCCATTAAAGTATGCGGATGATCTCTAAGAAATCTTCCAACTTTTAACATTTCAGGGCTTCACTAAACTGGGCTAGGAGGCACCACATCGTAGGCTGCGGTCTCCCAAATCCTGTTCTCTCCCCTATCTCACTAATAGCTAGCTCATCATTGGGGTCTCTCTTCTAATCTAATTTCTCATAGATACCTTAACAAGCGCCTATTTCAACTTTACCATTATATGTTGTTCTCTCTCTACCACTCTAAATTTCATAGCAATGGGGGCCGTGGCTCTTTATTCACTTCCATATACTGCTTAGTAAGGTCACGAAGGTGCTCAATACTTTTTCAATAAACAAATATATAGATGATGAGCAGAGGAAGACACACTGAAGCCCGCCAACCTAGGTGCCTGAGTCGTCTTACGTAACTTCCGCCCCTTCGCGCTCCTCCGGACGCCCCCTTTTCCCGGTCCCTGTTTGTTTCCGGCGTTTCAATAAAGCTCGATTCGGCTCGAAGAAGACCCGTTCTTCCGGGAAAATGGCGACTCCCGCTCGTGCCCCGGAGTCGCCGCCGGCCGCGGACCCAGCGCCAGCTGAGGGGCCCGCTGAGGAAGCCGACTGCCCCGCGCCGCGCCAGCCTCAGCCCCCGCAGAATGTTCTCGTTGCCCCGCGGCTTCGAGCCCCAAGCTCCAGAGGACTTGGGGCAGCGGAGTTCGGCCGAGCTGGGGGAGATGTTGAAGCGCCAGGAGAGACTTTTGCGCAACGAGTAAGCTGGGGTCTCGCGGCGGCACCGCCGTGCTCCTAGGGCTCGGGCTCCTTGGGACGCCCCCATTTTCTTCCCGCGTTCTCTTCGGGGAAAGGTGACCTTGTCTCAGGTCCATTTCAGTTCCAAGGACGAGTGGGTAGCCTGCGGCCGCAAGGCCACGCCATGACTCCTCCTGGCCAAGCACGTACCGCCTGCGAGGATGGCCCGTGTACAGACCGGCTGCTTGGCGTTTCAGCCAGCCAGCAGCTGTGCGTTGGTTTAATGTGCTCAACTACTGTTTTGGCTCCATGAAAGGAGTTCTGTATCCCAAATCCCTTTGCCCTCCTCCCCACACCGTGATCCAAACGTGTTATCAGTTTCATCTCTAGATCTTACTCTTGCAGGATGGGAAGAGAAGGATAAAAGTGGTTTATTAGGGCCGCGAAAGTTGTACTCATTCAGCTGGCAGACGGCGCATTTTAGCAGGGGAGCGATGTGATGGGGTGACTTTTTACAGGCAGCTTTATTTAGTAGCTTGGTGCATGATGGTTTGAAGGATTAAGAGGCAGGGGACATCAGGAGAGTCTTTTCAAAAAGAGGTTTTCAACAAGGGGCTTGTAAGAAAGTGAATGAGGAAGATAGTTAAGCAGGATTGGGAAAACCTCAAGTGTGGAATAATTAAAATATGTAATTGACAGAGATAAATGAAGTTTCTCGTCTGCATAGGGAGCCACTAACAAAAACATGAAAATTGAGGGAAAGGAATGGATTCAAGCAAGGTTCATTTTACTCAGGGTGTGCTGAGTTGAGGGGAGAGCATAACAAACATTTGATTAATTAAAAGGTGGAGAAGTGGTTATAACACTTAGGAGAAGGCTGGGAAAGCAGGACTCTCAGTTGCACAAAGGTGTTAATGTATACAGTTGAAATTGTGGGAATGTCATATCAGAGAAGGAGCAGTGAAAGTGTTAAAGATATAACCTTCTGACCACACGACTAAAGACAGAATCAGAAGAGGAATTCAGCAAAAAGGACAAATAATCATTTGGGTTGAGGGCTTACCAGTAGAGACAGATATTTTGCCTTTTTGAGAAGGAGTTTGTAATATATAGCAATGAATTAGCTTTTTGATCCCTTTTGAACTCTTGAAAAAGTTATTTGGCATCCTAAAGAGCTCTTGTTTATGTGTATTATATCTACTGATACTTACTGATTTATCAGAAATAATGGGGAACTCCTTATGATACGTATACATAAAAACAAGTTCAATTCACACCATATAGCCTCTGGAAAACTGCACTGTACTTGTGTGAGAAAGTTAGAGAAAATATTATGAAAATAGTTTTGACCTTCCAGAGCCATTCCCCTGCCCTTTGTTTTGGAAATCACACTTTAAAAACAGCTGATTTTTGGAATATCTTAAATGATTTTTGCACAGGTAGCGGATCCATTATCCTAAATGGGTGGGACCAGAAGTGTTTGAATTTCAGATTCTTTCAGGTTTTGGAATATTTATATATAAATAATGAGATATCTTTGGAATGGGACCAAGTCTGAACATGAAATCCATGTTTCATACATTGTTTGTACAAATAACCTGAAGGTAATTTTATATAATATTTTTTATGCACCTGTGTTTTCACATGTGCATGAAAACCCATCATAACCCATCACATGTGATCAGGTTTTAGAATTTTCTACTGGTGGCATCATGTTACCAGTGCTCAGAAAGTTTCAGATTTTGGAGCATTTTGGATTTTCAGAATAGGAATGCGTAATGTATATTCTTAAAATGCTTTTGTTGAAATTCTAATGAGATGAGACAAATGAGTCATTTTTATTCTGCCTGCATATCCTTGTTTTTGGGGTTAGTTGTCTTATTTGTTTAATTCCCATTTGGGGCCAGTTAGAAATCAGATTTTTACATAAAAATTCATTTTTTTCCCTTCAAGGTTAATGTTTTGCCTTTTAAATGAAAAATCACAAGTTTAAAAACAATACTCTAACATATACTTTTTTTTTATTTGACAGAAAATTCATTTGCAGATTGCCCGACAAAGGTAAAAAGATCTTAGACACTGTTGCCAAACTGAAAGCTGCCATTGCAGAGCGTGAAGAGGTTAGAGGAAAACGTGAACTGTTTCATTCTGCTAGTTTAGACTGTAAGCTAAGGCAAAAAGTAATTGCAGGAGTTGATGTGGATATAGAAAAGGCCCAGAGTTCTGACCGAATACTTGATACTTCATCACCAGTTCATGCCTGTTCCTTTGTAGATAACATCAAATCATCTAACACAACCTCAGAAAAACAGGGACTTGTACATCCTACTCAAAAAGGTGATGAAGAGATTCCAGAGGCTGAGTACACAGTGAACAAGTGTCCAGCTTCCCATAACAGATTCAGGGGATCTTCCTCACTTGAAGCGAGAGAGCATCTCCCTCAGCATTGTGTTTCAAGTCAAGCAGAAGATACTTCCAGCAGTTTTGACAACCAGTTTATTGATAAGTTCCAAAGGATCACAGTTGCAGACCAAGGTATACATCACTTGGAAGAAAACACAAGTGCTGAAAACTTGATGGGCCTTCGTGATAGGACTCCTAAGAAGCCCCATTACATGGAAGTGTTAGAAATGCGAGCCAAAAATCCAGTGCCCCCACCACATAAATTTAAAACTAATGTGTAAGTATCATTGGAAATAGACCTATCATGGGAATGTAATATGTGTGAAATTCAAAAAGTTGGAAGAATGCTTTTAAGTTCAGTGGGCTTTGTGTGAGTGCTCCTTTTAGGCAGAAATGAATATATTTGTGGAAACAGTGAGACCAGCCTGGCTGGAGTGGAGGATTCCTGTTGAACCATACTTTAGTTTTGAAGCCAAATAATTGAAAGGGTTTTAAATAGCAGATGGGGACTATTATGTTTCAGAATTCTTAGCCAATATTTCATAGTAAACAGAATTGAAGAGAGTATTTAGTATGGCTTTTTATTTTCGGTACCATTTTTCAGTGTATAGCTTCCCCTTCAATTGGTCTATAATCTAAGAGAAAAATAGTTGTAGGAGTTGATGGACTTTTTCAGTTATTTATTTGTGTGCTCACGATGCTCCTCAGAGCATTTAGGTTCTAGATGAGGACCTTAGGTTTATACACTTATAAAGAAAATTAAATTATAACACAGTTTCTAGGGAAAGGGAGGCAAGAGGAGTTAAAAATAAAAAATACTTTAAAAAGTTGGGGAGGATGGTTACAAATTCTGCTTCTGAATTCTTTGTTGTAGTTTTGTTTCTGAGAGCTGCAGGAAAATAAAAGCTCTTTGAAGAGAAAAGAATTGTTCTTAAAGCAAATATAATACTTAAATCTCAGTAGTAATTGATACCAACCTAAATTTATGAGGATATAATTTCAGATGCAAAGTCAAGCTACTGTTTGCTACCTTTCATTGAAAAACTGAAAACACCTAGTTGAAAATACCTAAAACATTTTGGTGGTTGTTAAAAAGAGACTTTAAAGTTTAATTCTATCATGTAATTCTTTTTAATTTAACCTCAAAACAGTTTTTTTTTTTTTTTTTTATGTTGTGTAGAAAACCACAATCATACTGCATTAATTCATACTTACCTTGTATGCAGTGAGGTATCTTTCTTCACTTTTAGGAGGATGTTTGGGAAAACTAGAAGCATAATTAGTCAACAATAAAAAAGAGTAAGTGGGCCTTGTCATTTGAGAACAAGAGGGAGGTAAGGGAATAGCAGTGAGGGCTGCCCAGGATTAGGGAAGTTTAAGAGAGAAGGAGCTTTCTCTGCAATTAGAAGGACTGACATGGAGGGGTTGTTAAGCTCTAGACAGGTGGGCATCAGGCTTCCCTTGAGCAGAGGCTTAGAGGGTAGGCAGTAAGACGAGATCATATTCCTTGGCTTTTCTGCTCTTCTTTTGATTTCTTTATGTTCTTCTGGATTTGCATATTGCCTGGATATGGAGGCTGCCACATCTATCTCTAGCCTTACTTCAGATTTGCATGGCCAGTTAGCTATAAAACATGACTACTTGGGTGTTTCATGGCACTTCAAGTTCATGTACAAAGTAGAGCTTGTCTCTCTTCCCAAATTTACTTACTCCCATATCTCTCATGTTAATAATGCCACCGCCACCTTTTCTTCCCAAGGCATCTTTTCCCTCATCACCACTGTCTGCTAATCTTGAAGACCTAAGAGATGTATTTCCTTGTTCTTCATCTCTGATTATTCTTACTTCATCATATCTTCCATCAAAGTGAAGGTTCTCATCTCTCTCTTGGTCTGTAAATGTGGACTGTTCTTCCCTCTAGTCTTATTGACCAGCCCTTCCTCTCCACTGCTGCCAGAGTGAAATTTGTAAAAATACAAATCAGAACCTGTTAAATAGACTGGAACTTTGTTTAGTCTGGACTCAGCTTTCTTCCCATCTATCTCTGCTACCCTTTCTTAAGTGTCTGTTTTCTGTGTTTCCTGGATGGTGCACCTCTGTTGCCCCTCATTCACTGTCCTGGGATGCCCTTCTCCCCTTCTTAACATAGTAAGCACTTATTCCAAGACTTTAGATTTCACCTTGAAGCTTTCCTGACAACTTCCCTTTCTCCTCCTGGAACTGGTCGTGTCTTACTGTACCTATGGTACTATATTTCACTAAAACTATTTGTATGCTTATTCCTCCCTACTGGATAGTAAGCCCCTTTGCAAACGTTCTTATAGGGAATAAATGAAAAAAATAGCTTCAGTTCAATCATGAAATGTGAAGAGGGGAAGGAAAAGGCAAAGAGCCTAGGTCTGTGAGTATACACATACCCTCGCTGGAGCAACGAATATGGGTAAACGTCTTACTGTTACCTTTGTTCAAGAATTGATTATTAGGGTTAAAGACCATTTTGTGTGTGTGTGTGTTTGATTGAGTTCACAAAAAGGAAATAGTCTGATCATATAACATAAATTCTTTCTTCAGTTTGCCATCACATCAGAATGACTCACCTAGTCATTCTCAGAGGGGAGAGTCTCCTGTTTCCTTGGCAGAGCGGCGGCGCAGGGACAAGCAGCATCTTGATGACATCACAGCAGCGCGGCTCCTGCCACTTCACCATCTGCCTGCACAGCTGCTTTCCATAGAAGACTCTTTGGCACTTCAGAAACAGCAGAAACAGAATTATGAGGTATTTAGGGCATTAGGATTTTTTCCCCCCTGCTTACATATGTCAGGATTTACTCTAGGTAGTTCAAGGAGGAAAGAATTTAATAGAAGGGATTAAGTGCTAAAGAAATGGTCAGCTGAGGAGACCATTAGTTCTTAGACATGTGCCATTAGTTTTTAGTTACAAACTTAATAAAACTGCAGGAAACAGCTGGAGATGATCATAACTACCTGCAACCTCAAAGTGATGATTTAACAGGAATTATGGAGAGACTACTGCAAAATTTCACATCCAGCCCATGCTTCTGCCTGTTCCCATTAGGATAGCAGTACTATCAACTCGCTCTTCTGCCTTATAAAATCCATGTGATAGCTTCTCAGTGGTGGAATTTAATCCAGGGAAATATAGCTCCCAGACTTCCATCTCCATCAATACAGAGGCAGCACAGAGTGGGTGGAGGATAGTGTTATATTGCCAAAGTAGGGCACTGAACCATAATCTGAGAGAAGAATTTCCTACTTTGGGCATCTTAAATCAATTTTATATAGCACTTTCTCCAAAGATCTGTGTGTTTTGCATGAAATTTAAGCATGTACCTTTAGAGTTTGTGAATGTGAGTTAATAGAATGGGGGCAAATAGTGTGAGGATCATGGGGTTATAGAAAGGATTTGACATTCTTGGATAATAATTTGAGCCTCCAGGAAGACAGCATCCTTTCCTACTTCCTAGATAACTACTTATCTAGATTTCAGTTAAGTACCATGCACCAATTAATATCTAACTATCTTATTAATCTGTTTTGGCTTTTCATAAAAGCTCACTTGGTTTGGATTAGCATTTTTAAGGCATTCCTTTTTACTCTTCCTCTCAGTGTATGAAAATGATTGCTAGTTATAGCTATAGCATTGAAGAATTGTTTTATAAATTGTCTCTGGGATCTTGAATGCCTGTCCTAAGACATTTTTATGTTGAATTAAACCCTTCAGCTTGAAATTGGTTTCTTTGGCAGAAACCTACTCATAATATTCATGGCCCGAGGGGAAGGACATAAAGACATTTAAGGGATCTTGGAGAAAAGGAAGAGCCAAATGAGGAATGAGCATTGTTCCCTTTATCAGTTGGTAGTGAAGTCCTTTGGTGTGTAAGCATTACCAGACTGAAACTTGCTTGGACTTTTGGTTAGGTACTAATTTCTGAAGGACTTTATTTAGAAAGGGGTAATAAGCTTTTTAGTATTAATATCTTGGTTTTGCCTATGCCATTGAAATGTAACTCTTGGGCCTCTGTCTGGGGAAGAGGGTTCTGTCAGAGTAATCAACACAGTATTAGTAATTTGTAACATTTGATAGGTCTAATTGTTTCTTGTATCAGTGTGTGTAATCACATACTTAATGTGTCTGTATTTATAACTGTTGGGTGTTGAAGTGATTACTCAGTTCTTATAGAAGTGGGCATTTCAATGCAATGTTTATTTATTTATTTATTTTTAAATTTTTTTGTGTGTTTGAGATTAACCGTGCGATTGGGGTGGGGGTGCTTTACAACTGAGCTATATCCCCAGCCCTTTTTATTTTTCTGAGACTTGGTCTCACTAAGTTGCTGAGGCTGGTCTTGAAATTGCAATCCTTCTGCCTCAGCCTCCCAAGTCACTGGGATTAAAGGCATGTACCACCAGGCCCTGCTTCAATCCAGTGTTGTTTATTAATGGAAGTTGATAACTACAACTATAGCAGGCTGGTAGTTTTTGCATGCATTGTCCTTTTGTATCTGTAATAGGACACACAGAGTTAGGTTCCTTGTTTTTAGAGAGTATACTAAGTGACTGTTATAACTTCCTAATGAAAAATTGTAAGGAAAAGAACATGAACGTGTGACTTTTTGCTTTGCTCTTTGTTTTAAAGGAGATGCAAGCAAAGCTCGCAGCACAAAAATTAGCTGAAAGACTGAATATTAAAATGCAGAGTTATAATCCAGAAGGGGAGTCTTCAGGGAAGTACCGAGAAGTAAGAGATGAAGATGATGATCAGTCCTCTGATGATGAATTATGAAGATGGGCATTGGAATTATCTCCTAAATCTTCTACTCTTGAGAAGTCATTATCTTCCATCAGACTTTATAACAAGTATCAAGATTGGTGTCAGACACTGTTGAGGGAGAAAACTTTATAAAGTTACAAAAACGTTCCTACAAAAAAAAGCTCAGTTTGTCTTTCAGAAGATGATCTTCATGTGATTGAAAAGTTTAATATTTCAATATTGTGTTTAACCATATTGTATTAAAATTTTGCGGTATGTTGTGCATTGGTCTGATATTTTAGTATGTAGTGGAATATGTTTTTTTCCTCTCAAATGGAAGTAGATAGCTTCACTTTTTTTCTTATTCTTACCTCTATAAAATAGCATTTATTATGTCTTTCAGTGAAACACTTAAGTTGTCCCAGGTACCTAAAATAAATTAGTAAGACTTAGTTCCCTCTTTTTTTGAGCAGTGAAGGGAGTACAGTCCAAAGCATTGGGTGTATGCTTACTTGAAGTAATTGAGATCTGGGATGTGAATTACCTTGAAAGACACTCATAGAAAAATGCTTCACAAATGTTTGTTTTATTCTCTTGTCTTCCCCTAGGAAGATTGTTCTTACTTCTGATTAGGAATAAGGAATATTTTGAGGAGATGCTAGAGGGGCAGAGGGTTTTTCTAGATGACCAGATTTGCCTGGAGTAAGTTGTGGTATAGGAAATGCAAACTGAGAGCTAAGTGAAAGGAGTAGTTGTTCTCATGCTTTACCTGACTGGAGTTCTTTGCTCTCACAGTTGAGGTTCATGTGTAGTACATTCATGTTTTGGTATGAGAACCGGTTATTTTTTCAAAGTTATAACTGAATTGTCAGTTGTCAGTACATTGCTTCCTCCTCCCCATACCCCTCCCCACCGCCAAAAGAGGCATATATAGGCTGCAGAAACCTCAATCTCCTATATATACATGTTCCTGTCATTTTAAATGATTATATGGTTGTCTCCAGAGAAATTATGTTATTAAAAAAAAATTCCTTGTTTAATGTGGAGCCTTTAAAAGTATTGTCAGGAAAAATAAAATATTAATTAGAACAACTCCAAATACTATTGGTGTTATTTTACTGGTATTTAGTTAAATTTAACTTCTTTGAGAGAGACTGTCCAAATTTAAAGTTTTGACAAAACACATTTAAGTCATATGCATGTGTGATAGGAAGGGCTTAGTTCTATGTCATGTGCTATCCATTTTCCCTCTCCTTGACAAAAAGCAAATGTAAAAAGTATTCTGAATTAGCAGTCTCATTAGTTTTTAAAACTAATAGTAAATGACTTCAGAACACAAAATTATTTAATGTTCTTTTTCTATAGAATGAAATGACATTTTATTTCTGGAAAGCTGGTGGTGCAGAAGGCTCATGTACATGTGGTGTGCATGCAGTCCTTTTCAAGCCTACCAGCCAGAGACAATCTCCACTAACATTTGAGTGTTTGTACTTGTACTTATTTTTTTTATATAAGCAATACATTTATATTTTAAAAAATGTAATAATGCTATACATTGTTTTATAGCCTATGTAGTATAAACATTTTCCCACATTAAATATTTTACATTTAAGACAGCTGCAGAATATTTTTCGTGAGTATACCATAACTTTTAAAACAATTTTCTAGTTGAAAAATTTGATTGTTAATTATAATGTAGTCTGTAAACAGTGAAATGATTAGTATCTTAAAAGATAGTCACATCTATACACAATGACATTTCCAGAAGATATTTCTGTAGACATGAAATTGCTAGCTGCAAGGGGATGCAAATTTTTGAGACTCTTGATAATTCATCACTTATTACATACAGATTTTGTCCATTTATGTTCCCACTAGCAATATATCAAACATCCAGAATTAAAATTGGGTACTTAAAATTGTTGCAAATTGAACAAGTACAGAAAAAGGCTACATTTTAAATGTGTATTTCTTTAACTACATAGAAAACGTTATTTTCCCATATTTATTGGCCTTTTCTATTTATTCTTTTGAAACTTGCTTATTCATATTGTTATTCTCTGGGAGAACTGGCCCTTTTTTTGGCTTACAAGTTCTTTATGAATTAAGGATGTCCATCCTTTGTCATATAATTATTCTTAGTGCGCCATTTGCCTTTTAATACAACTAATGTATTACTTGTTTTCTTTAGGAGTTTATCTTTGCATGTGTGCTTGAATATACATTTCTTAACCCATGTATATTAACCCCTATTTTCTCAGTATTTTGAAATTTTTATAGTTATTTTTTAGCTTAAAAAGAATTTTATCTTGTTTATATAACCTGAACTCATTTTCTGCATAACTTTGGGGTGAAAAGGAAATTTTTAATCTATCTCAAGTTTATTTAGGGATATGTATGAGATGAGATTCCATTGTTAATTCTTGTGAAGAGTTTACTGATTGGACAGATTGGTTCAGTATCATCAGCCACCATTTTCCTTCTGATTTGTAATGATATTTTTATAGAATATTAAATACTTGTATGTCTTTTATACATTGGGCTTGTTGCTGGGCCTTCTGATATTTTTTTTCCATGCAATCATTATGGCTTTCATTGGTGTTAATATTCTGTAGAATAAGTTCTCCCTTTTTTGAAATTTGTGAAATACAGCTACAGAAAAGTATATAAAATGTGTGCAGTTTACTGAATAAAGCAACAGCTGTGTAATCACAAAGCTGATGCGGAGGAACTGCTGCCAGCCCTCCAGATACTCGCTGTGTGTTCCCTCTTAGTACCTCCTCTGTCCCTCAGAGGTCATACCATCCTGACTGTGGTAACCCCCAGCCCCCGCATCTTTTTAAAAGGTATTTTATCAGTTATGTGTTTAACAATAATTAGTCTGTCTTGCTCACTGTTGACTTGTGTAAAGATGGAATCATATCTTGTATCTGGTGTCTTTCACTAAAAATTCTTAGAAAATTCATGTCACATGTAGGGGTGTGTGTGTGTGTGTGTTTCCATTGCTGTGTAATATGTGCTATTTCATTAATATCACTATTTCTTTATTCTGCTCTGATGGACACTTTGGTGATATTTCCAGGATTTGACCATAATAAACATGCTGCGATGAGCATCTTTGTGCCCATAAACATGTTTCTATAGGATGTATACCTAGGGGTAGAATTGCTGGTCTATGAGATATGCATATCTTTAATATTTTATATTCTTGCCATCCCTTCCACGACAGAGAATTCCAGTTTACCAACATTTGGTATTGCCAAACTTTAATTTTAGCCAGTGTGATGCTTCCATAGTAAACTCATTCTAGTTTTATTTTACATTTCCCAAAGTTGAGGGGACATTGAGCATCATCATATATTTATTGGCCACTGTATTTCTTTTGCAGAATGACCATTTGAATCTTGTCCATTTTTCTATTGTGTTGATTGTCCTTTTTTTTTCATTGATTTGTAGGATATATTCTAGATACTATTCAATCAAATAATTTGGTATTTGGTCAAATTTGTTGTAAATAACCTCTCTTTCTGAGGATCAATTTTCAACTTCCTCATGGTGTATTGTAACAAATTCTTAGTTTTAGTGGCAAACATCAATTTTTTATGTTTAGTGGTTTTTGTGTCTTATTTTAAGGAATCTTTTTCTATCCTGAAGCCACGAAGATAGATTCTTATTTTTTTTAAGATTTTTCTAGTTAGAAAATGCTTTATAATTTGATTCCACCTGGAATATAGTCATCAGGGGAGAGGTCTTTTTGGGTCACCACTATAGCAGTGTGGAGTGTGAAGATGGGCCTTCTCAGCTACTCGCTCATGCACTTCTACTGCATATTAAGCATATATCATATTTATGTTACTTTCTGGGTTCTCTCTTCCATTCTGTTAACCTATTTGTGCTAATACTATACTGCCTTACTCATGATAGTTTTACAGTTAGGCTGGAGGAAGGCCTACCATCTTATTCTTCAAAATGACTTGGATATTTTTGGCTCTTTGCATTTTCATAGAAATGCAGAATTTTAGAATCAGCTTGTCCAGTTCCACAAAAATTCCTTAGTAGGTCAAATTCCTCCTTGCTCATTTTTGGGAAAAAAATATTTTATCAATTAATTTTGTATTACCATCAATATGTTTTGAAACAGTAGAAGATTTGAAACAGTGCCATTTACTAAAGTACATACTTACTGTTTCTAAAAGGGTGAATATTTTTAGTTTCTATCAGTTAAATGGAACATTTAGAATGCTATTTTATTGTGAATAATTAAAGTATAGTTTTGACTGAGAAGAATTAGTGAGGAAGAGAAAGAATTTTAGAACGTCAGATTTAGGCTTTAAACAGGAAAATGTTGTAAATTTGTAGAAGTTGTCATCTTACCTTGAATTTTCAGGTGATTACATCAACAAAAGCAAGTGAGAGCTGAAGCTCTGGGGGCTTAGCCTGAACTGTGAGAAACAAGTATTAATCTAATTCTATAGTAATCATCAATACGAGTAATAATTTTTCATGTTCATAAGACTGTCTCTAATCCATATTACATTTCTGGGGATCCCGGACTACTGTGAGCTCAGGTAGAAGGTAGATAGCTTGTGTGATTATCTCTTTTTCTTATAACTGGGATGTTGAAGTGATTTGCTCAAGATTACTCAGAAGCAGCCAAGAAAAGAACCCAGCACTCAAGATTTAATCAGGTTTTAGGAAGTGCAAATTCTAGGTCAGTGTGGGTAGCATTTGTCATTTCTCTATGACTTAAACACAAAAGAGCTTTTTTCTTTCGAAGAGTTTTTATTTGTAATGTTTTCGTCATTTTAGGACTTAGCCACTGCTGACATCTTCACTCTTCCCTCTTTTTTGGTAGTTGGCTGCATAAAACTTTTAGAAAAGAGATTTCAGGAAAAGTGATATCAGTATCATAGGCCTCATTTAGAAGACCAGGTGACTCTGACAGTTTTCCCTTTATAATCTTAATGGCATACTTTGTACTACTAAAAAATAAAATTGTTAGGAAAAAAGATTTTTTGTCCTTGTGCTAGAAAATTGAGAGTGCCTGTGCTAAATAAATAAAAGGATTATATATCCAGCTTTTATGGGGAACATATATAGTCATTTTAGAAATATGGCAAGTCACATTATCGACTAGCTGCTTGACAGCAGGGAGAAACTTAAATCTATTATTTTAATTTCTGGCTAAAGTGAGGAAGCTTTGATACTTGGCTGATGAAATAAACCTAGTGTTGGATAATACTGAACCATAGCCAGACCACAAATCAGACATGATTCTGAAAGCACAGTATAAAAGCCTGAACAATTAAATATGATCTATTACTTCCCAGATGAGTTTAGAAAACTTGAAATAAAAAAAGGCAAAAAAGAAGGTAAGCCACTGGAATAGCATTAGATTATTAGATTTAGGATTTAAATGCCACTATTTCCTTTGAATCCAGTGGGAAGTTATGTACTCTCATGATGATTAAGTCTCTTAAGATGAGGTCAGTGACCCCTTATCTAATGTATGGGGTATGTTTTGAGAGAACAAAATTTCAAAGTGTGGTCCTTATAGAGCACTTTGAGGGTAAAAGATTTTATATGAAAACCTCATTGTAACGATGGTAACAATTACGACTGAAGCAGTTTAGGAGGCACCTTTTGCCATATGAAGTAAAATGTTTCAAAATCACCACCATATGAAACTTTTAATTTAGTGTTAAAATTAACTGAGAACAATAGAGACTTCCTATAAAGCTATTTTGACAAGGGGAAATTAGGACATTGAGCTAAGGAGAACCCCAGCTTTGCATGGAAAAATTTCACATTATTAAGGCAAAAGAATGAGAGTTGTAAATCAAGTCCTTATTTAGAGCATACAGAAATGTTCCTTAAAAGATGGAGACTCTGCTCTGCGCATATAAATTTTGTCTGAAAATACAGCTAGTAAATACATCAATTCTCTTAATCAGTACCACATACAGTGTATTGAATTAAATAGCATTTCTAGTGTTTGCATTGTTAAAATGAAAGCATATCTTCTATTGATCAAATTTTTAATTAAAACTTTTCTTCTCCACTTTAGCTACTTTTAAAAGGGTCCAAATGAAGCATTATTAGGAAAAATAAAACTGGCACTGTAGAAGGCAAATCTTGTCTTGAATTAACATCTTTAGTTCTTCAGGAAAAGAGAAGTCTAGATATCATTTGTTCCACACACTATAAGTGGGGAAACCGAGGCACAGAGAAAAATGGAGGCTTTCCTCTGGTTGTACAGCTGGTCCTGACAAAGCCAACTCTTCCTGCCCCAGCCCTGTGTTCTTGTTTAGCGTGGAGGAGTTGTCTTATAATCAATTCTAACAAACACACATTTTGTACAATAACAGAAAAAGTGCAGTGCCAGAAATCTGTTCTTAAGTTTAAACTACACAAATGTTTAATTTTTTGAGAATTTGGAATATTGCAACTATGTTCCTATTGTAATCTAAAGACTGGATAGCACGCTGCCCCTTATTATAAACATGACTCAACTTACCCTTTCCACTGCCCGACTTCTGTTTCAGTGCCCACCTGCACAGCACCCCCTCCTTTCAGTTTTCAGCAGTCTGCCTCCATCCACCTTCAGTGGTTCTTACCCATCCTTCTGTGACGTCTCAGACCTCTCCCACCCTACAAGGTAACAGGGGTCTTGGGGCCTGAAGAGTATTGCTGGCTAATTAGTATCAATAAGATCTTATTAATATCTTAGTGAGTATGGGTTCGTTAGATAACTTTTTCCTGAAGGAAAATGGGGCTTAAAGGAATGGGAAATGGAACTGGCAAGTTTTATGGAGAGAAGGGAAATGGAAAGTGGGGGAAGGGAAGGACAAGGATATGAAACAGTCATGGATGGGCCTGTGTACTCCTGAGGAAGTGAGGAGGCCTGACTGAAGAGTTGTCAGTGCACCATTTTCCTCTCCTCTCTACCCTTCGTCTTTTGAATCCACTTATTTAAAGTGCTTGCTCCCAACATTCTCCAGAAAGAGCATCTGTCAAGGTCGTCAGTGATCATGCTGCTGAATTCAGTAGTCAGTGCCCATTCCTAATTTTTTCCTTGATCTCTTGGCAATGTTTGTCATAGCTGATCATTCTCTTTCTTGAGACACTTTCCCTGGTTTCTGGAAGACTCTAGAAGGCACTCAATGCCTCTTCCTCTTAGTCTCCTTTGCAGATTCTTTATCATCTTTTCAATCACTAAGCACTGAAATGTTCAGGGTTCTCTTCCATCTATGCTCACTCCCTTGGGAACTTCACCAGCCTCATGCTTTTTAATATTTAAATGCCATTTTTTACTGAATCTTTTCCTTTATTTTTTCATTTTATTTATTTATTTGCAATCCTGGGGTTGAACCCAGGACCTTGCATATACTAGGCATGTATTCTACCTCTGAGGTGTATATCCATTTTCTCACCTTTAAGTACCATTTATACATGATGACTTCTAGGCCTATATCTCCAGCTCAGACCTCACTTCTGAACTCAGTTGCAGCAACAGTGCTCTGAGGAGAATTGGGGCTCTTGGGCTAGGGATCAGGATGCATTGGTGGAGAAAGTGGCAGAGTTCTTGCTTTGCTATTAACACATAGGATATCCTTGGTCAAGTCACTAAATTTATTGGGATTTAAGTATACCATTTGCTAAAATGAGGAATTAAATCCAGTCACTATCTCCTAAAATATGTGTCTTAAAACAGAATCCCTGAGAAAAAAATGGAATTTGATGGTCAGGTTATGCTCTTGTTGCCTGGATTATAAAAGAGGCCTCCTCCTGGCCTCTCTGCTGCCCTTGCCCACACTACAGTAGAGTCTCATCACAGTAACCAGTATGATTTTTAAAAATATAACTTAGGTCAGGTTATGTCTCCACTCAAAGTCCTGTAGTAACTCCCCTCTGACCCAGAGTAAAAGCTAACATCCTTATGATGACTTACAAGACTCCATATGACACCTCTCACTCTCAGTGTCCCTGACAGTGTCACTCTGCTCCAGCCACAGGGGGCTCCTTGATGTTGCTGTAATGTGTCAAGAATGGTCCCACCTAAGGACTTGTGCACAGCTGTTTTGTCTTGAATGTTCCTTCTCCAGATGTAGTT